ACACGTTTCTGGTTACCTAGAAATCTTGTTATTTGTTTTATTTGTTTTTTTTTTTTTTTTTTTTTTTTTTTTTTAACAAAAAATCAGTAATTAATTTAAATGGTAAATTTCTCTTTTAGCCCAACTTTATCGGTTGTCATATTGACCAATGAATTCAAATTTTTAATAATTAATTGTGAAAATTAAAAAATAAAAACATTTTCACATATTTATATATTGTAGGTGCTCACTTGAGTCTGTGACAAGCAAATGCATTCCAAAGGGCATGATTTTAATGTTTCAATTAAAAGCGAATTCCATAAGCAGAGGAAAAGAGTCAAAGCGGTTAATAAAAATAATGAATTTGGCATTTTTTTTAATTCGGCAAAACGATCAGCGGTGATGACAGCAGTGATCTTTATTTTCATTGATTTACATATATATATTTACATATATATATATATATATATATATTTAAATGTATAAATATGAATATATATATATATATATATATATATATTTATAAATATATATATTTTCTTTTATTTATTTATTTATTTAATTATTTATTTGGGAGTAAATATTTAGATGGAAAATTTGTTATATAAAGAATTTTAAAATTATCTTATTTTTATATCTTATTAGATATAAGTTATTAATTAATTGATTATGCCGTTGAACACTATTATGTTACGCATCAATTAACCGCTAACTGAGCAAGAAAAAATTCCGCATCCGTGACCGTTGCACGCAAATTTCAAATAACAACTAAAATACTTATTTACTGTGCAACATTGTTTACATTTACAAATGGAAGCTGTTTCTGATGGAATTAAAAAAATGCCGGTAAACATTTCATAGCCTACTCAACACAAGTTACCTTCCAATGTGCAACTGGAAGAGTTTTTCCTACAATTTCATTGAGAGCATTTGCATTGTTTTTTTATTTTTATCACTACTTTAACACTCTCTCACTCTCGTTCTCTCTCTCTCTCTCTCTCTGTCACTGTCTCTTCCTCGCTTTTATTCTCTTCGAAAGCTCTGTTCTTCAAAAGCTCAGAGAATAGACTGTAAATTGTTTTTGACCCAGCAAGGAACTGATGAACTTGAAACAAGCAAGGTATAGCAAGGTTCTTTGCGTCATAAAACGAAATTTGAATACCCGCGATTAGAGGTCTCGATACTCATTTTTCTTAAGTCTATGCCTATAGATCACGCCCATTTCAAATGTTTTTCCCGTTAAATTTCTCTTTTTCAATAAATTCACTTAAGAGCAACAGATACACTTGGGTATTCAACTGGGCAGCCGAACTTAGATTTTAAGTTTTATACTAATATTTAGAAATACATACATTTTTATGTACCATCACCGAAACACCGAAAGATAATACGAAAGGACTTGAGGTGAACGCTTAACCTGCAGGTGGTGGGCGAAATTAAAAATTCATGCTTTTCTTAAGATTTTTGAAAGTGGACGGGACGCATAGAAATTTTGTAGCGCACCCGTACGCACACATATACGCATAAGCACATTTAAATTTGAGTTCGGCTTTTAGAGTTTTCATGTAGCCACGTTTTCCTTTTCTTTTGTATTTATTTAAACCATAATTAACAAGAGACTATTGTTTGAACTAAATACTAATATTAAAATTAATAACAATAATTAAAATAATAATTATTCATATCAAGCCCACATTAAACTCATTTGAATGTAACTTCAATATAAGAAAATTATAAATTAGTTCATGACAACATTTGCACACCTTACACCACTTGTAGCACAAATAAGGTACTTAAGTTTGTACGGATGTATGCAACACCCACACCACAAGGGCTAGAGATAGACTCACCTTTAATTCAAAGACACCTCCTAAAGCGATCTAAGGCCACGTCTCAATTTTTGAGATAATTTGATGAAATGTGCTACACTAGCATGTTTTGAGCCAAGGACGCCAGCTATTAAAAATGATTCGACAAAATTTTCATATAACAGCTTTTCAACATAAGTGTGGTGTGTGTTATTTAATGATCGGTCTTTACCAACTATAATGTATTTACTTGTTTGGGTTGCAAATGCAATGGGAAGGGAATATCAGATAGGAACAGATATTCAGATTCGCTGTAATCTAACGCCGCAACTCAGGACGTAACGAATTTTCATAGCTAGTTAGCACACACATTAAAACGCTTCGAAAAATAATTGCAAAATAATTTATATCACATAATGAATGGGCTACTGAGTATTAGATAGAAACTTTCCATGGCGACAACTCATTTTTATCCGTTTCCTCTGAGGTTATGTCGTGATATTGTTTCTTTCCTTCTCAAGTTTCAGTTGGTCACATTCTATCCCCGTGGGATATAAGTTTACAAGCTTCAATAGCAGCATAGAAATAAAAACCGTTTTGCTGAGCAAAACTTTCCACATACATATATACATATATAGAATTGCGTGGCAGTAACATAGAGTGCGAAGAAGGGAAGAAATATTTTTAATTTATGTGAGAACATAAATGTGGATAATTACTCTAATTTATTAATTACGCACTATTGATAGGAACTTAACGATCAGTTTCTTTCCATTAAAAGAATTAAATGTCTTCGCCTTTAGTTGCAAGCGCGTTACGAAACTAGCGAAAGGACGGAGTTTTATAAAGCTATTGAAGGGGAACTTTTTACGAAAAAGTAATTTCAGAATTATAACTTGGTTCGATATCCTACTACTTATTATTTTTCAAAAGAAACAATGCTTGCCATCACTCATCGTCTATGTGATCGTAAGGTGCTATGTTATCGTAAATATTCTGCTGCATAACTAAAGCATAGCAAAAACGTTTCACAAATACTGGAATCTGAACGAGAGCGACGAGCCTTAAAGGTGAACAATGTCTTCGACAGCTACAGCTATTTTTTTAAACAATACCTGACCTGTAACTATAAATTATTCTATTGAAATGCAACAAACAAACAAAGCTTTTAAAACGTTCTTTTTTATATTAAAAAAAAACAAAAACCAATACTTGCGGGGAGTGTAGCTTTTTCTCCTTCATTGGAAATATGGTGGTACTACATCCCTTAATTTCCATGGCCAGTTGTGTGTCGTGATTACGTCGATACGTGCATATGCAAGCTTAATGCGACGGTACCCATTGGCTCACGAGCTAAATACGGATCAATATCTGTTGTCCCCCAAGGAGCACAAATTAGAGGGCCCTAGTATCCTTACAGCACGGGAAAGATAAAAAAGGGGATGGGTTTATTTTCCCCCCTCCAGACAAGGCAAGGCTTGTCTGATACCTTGACATTCAACGTCTGAGCGAATTTAACGAAACGCTGGCCATAAGAAAACATTGATCTCAGCCACGAGCAAATATTCTACGCTAGACATCCTTTGGGTGGACGATTTTTACGTTTGACCTATTCATACTTAACAGATTGCCATTGCATTTCTCTTCATATGTTCTTGATGCCCGAAAAGAAATCTTCACACCAGAGTGTCATATTCTCAGCCAGTCAGTATAACTTCTTTGCTCCAGGGATTGTGGAAGATCTGTTGAAAATACCTAAACCTTTGGAGTAACTGGCTAAATAAAACAATACAATGTATTATGAGTCTTTTCAATCTAAGCGGCCTACTACTTGGGAATTTTACCAAAAACGACTGATGCAATTGAACAGAAAAGCGGCGGCAATATAGGAAGTGCCAATAGTGCCAATTTACTATACAATACACGTCCACGTTTACCAAAAAATTGGCGGAAGCTCTATCAAACTCCTGACAAGTATAGTATGCCACCTGCTTAAAGAATTTTTACGTATAGCGAATGTAAAGCATAATAAAGGTATAATATTAGTTTGGGGAAAAAGAAATCCATTATTTTTATATGAACTTCAGGACTTTATTTAACATGCTTCGGATTGTCCGATTTGGGTCAAATATGCACCGTTTTATTGTATGATTTGTTGCCATTTTAAAGGTAACTTTAAAATGCCTCTCTAATAGAAGTCCTGGTCTCTATTTGCAAAAAACTCTAGTAGTCGATTTTCACAATCCTCCCTAGATTCCAATTTTTTATCATTAAAGAAATTTTGCAATGCAAGAAATTTTGCAATACGTTTGACCATATGGAAGCAACTCATAATAAATAATCCCCTTCCAGTCCCGCCAAATGCATAGCAAAACCTTCCTGGCCGTTAGTCCTGCTTTGACCACCGTTTCAGATGCTTCACCGCTCTTTGACCACGATCGTTTTCGCACAGGGTTATCGTGTGTGATCCATTTCTCATCTCCAGTCACCATCCGCTTAAGAAATGGGTCTATCTCATTCCGTTTGGCCAAGGCTTTGCAGATGAAAATTCGATCCATCATGTTTTTTTTCTGTTAATTGGTGTGGCACCCAAACATCGAGATCTTTTTGAATCCAGCTTTGTGTAAATGGTTTAAAACTGTTTTATGGTCGATTTTTAGCTCCTGGGCGATGTTACGACTGCTAACATGCCGGTCAACTTTGATCATTTCTCCGAGTTTATCGACATTTTCGACGACCGGCCTACCTGTGCGAGGTGCATCTTTAACATCAAAAATTCCTGAACGGAATCTACGAAACCAAAATTGCACATAATTGGCTGTTACAGTACAGTATCGGAACCATAAACACCCACCATTCACAATTTTAGCCGCCTGGCTTGCATTTTCGCCTTTGTCAAAGAAAAACTGTAAAATGTACCGAATTTTCTCTTTGTTCACTTCCATTTTTAACACGCTGTAACTCACAACTGAATGCACCAAATAAACAACAGCAAAAGAATTTTTTTTACTGCGAAATGTCACCTTTCCAACGAGCATAAATATGAAATTGTTTGATCGATACTTTACGAGAAATCTATCAGTGCAGCCATTTACTGAAAAAATAATGGATTTCTTTTTCCCCAAACTAATATAAAATGACTAACTATTTAATTAAGATAGCTTACCCAATATATAAAGACTAACACACACGATCGCGTTAAACGTACACTTTTTGAACTTTTTAGAGTTTCATTGCCCAACAAGAACAAAGAAATTTATATTCATCATAAATCAATATATTAACTGTGTTATGAACTGATTTTTTATTCATTCACTGTGAGTGTGTCGTCATCAGATGGTGTCATTATGATTTTTAAACGGCTTTGATAAATATTTGTCGTCAATTTTCTTTCCTTTCGTAAACAAGTCGCGTTCAGTTTTCCAGCCAGCAAAGGTAAATGTGTTTTTAGACAAATCATAATGGTTTTCAAGCCAATATCATATCTCTACCGAGATTCAATCTTTTACCTCGAGTCTTGCATTCGATGAAGTAACGGCGACGGGTGATGGAACGAACTAAAATATATCTGAGTTTACGTTGATCCCTTATAAGTCT